AACAATCCGCCAACAATTGATGCGGCCAAAAGACCCAATTGCTAAGAGGGAGATGTCGGCTGTTGTATACCGACTTCAGTGCAGCTGCGGAATGTGTAACTACGTTGGGGAAACCGACCGACGGCTGCAAACGCGCATGCACGAGCATAAGTTGGCCGTGCGAAGGTTGGACCCAAAGTCGGAGGTAGCAACCAATGCCGCCCAAATGGGACATGTCTTCAACTTTGACGCCGTTCAAATTGTGGGCCGAGGTGATGATCATACGGCAAGGCAGGTGCAAGAAGCCTGGATTTCTACCGACTGTTCTGTCAACCGCCACATTAGTTTGCCCACCCCCCCCCTTTTCTGGTTGTACGGACATTTTTGACGGGGACAGCCACGACCTGGGACAATCGGGGTCGTCAATTATCGCTGCGGCCGACGAAGATGGGTGGGATTCAGGCCATGGTGACATGCGGGTCAGATGCAGCTACACAGGTGGCATTGATGGGCCAGGCATCAAACAAAGTGCGCCATAAAATGGAAAGCTGTGTGCATGACTGTTTAGTCTCTGAAAATGGGTAGAAAAAACGACGACACGAAACGTCAGACCTCAAATACACCTCTCCCAGTGAACGGCTCCGTTTCTTTTCATATGCCACGTGGGAATCGCACTTTCACTACTACAATTAAAATGTTTAATCATTAATCACTTTCGATTGTAATGAACTCGCTGGCGAAAAGCAAAGTGTGCAGTAGATATTTTAGCATATGTCTAGTAGTTAGCATATTCACATTTTTCGGAGACATTTTCACTGAAAGCAAAATGGCGGACGGTTGAAACAAACCATTGCACGTGGACGTTATTATTGCATCTGTGGGGCAGAAAGCCACATGGCCTTGCGACTTTGAATTTGAAGTCAATATAACGCCTGATTTTCAAAAAATAATCTGAATCCTTTCACCGCGCTTCATGTGGTTCGCGAGGGGACTAATATCAATACCCAAAGGATACAGGTTTCGATTGCTAAACTCCCCACGCCTAGATCATTTTCCTTCTAAAGGAAAAAAACAGAGATACGCAAACGTAGTCTACGATAGCTGCTAGGATAAAAAAATCGCCCGAAAACAAGGTAATGCGGAAAGCCGCACAAATTCAAAAATATTAGATTAGTAAAACCCTTAGAAACATATTTTGTCCGTAAAAAGTATATATATACTTAAAGGGGTAAGGCAGAACATTAAAGTGTGCCGCATTTTCTATGCCTAATATTGATGGTTTTAATTTAGGTCACAAGGTTTCATGAGTTGAATCTAATAATATAGAGTTTCCACTCGAAAATTACAATATTCCGCTTAAGAGCGGTACTCTTTTTGGCCCTTATTCGTGAAAACTATTTAATAGTCGATTGGCTGACGAGGAATTTTCAAGGGGATATTTTGGTGGATGCCTGGAAGAGGTGAGTATGCACTGATCTCCTGAAATCTGGGGGTTCTTAGGATCGAGGTCATTCGTCGAAAACGGCATAGGTACTGTACCTTTGCAACAAAAACTATTCGTGTCATGTCCCTGGATGTCATTCGGACCCAGTGTTCCTTTCCATAGAACCACTTACCACTAACTTCTGAAAGTATGCACTGCAATACCGATGACGGTTTCGTCATATTTAACCGTATTTCCATCTTCCTTAACATGTTTGAGCATTAATGAGTATTTAAAATTAAATAGTTTTTTTCTCACTTTTTCAGTTTCCGAACTTCATTTTCATTTCAGATGTCTGCAATGCATTGTGGCTCTTATTCGTCTGCCTGATTTTCCATTTTTTATTTACGTTTCAGTCATACTGTTACCACGTTTTTCATGGATATTTGCCATAATTATAAGATCTACCAAGCTTACTCTGAAAAGCACTTTCTAATAACTTTCCAGCTAAAGATTTAAGCCATCTTTACGAACCAGGTAGGGCACAATTGCGAGACTTTCTCCTTTTATCCAGCGCACAGCAAAGTTTTTTTAATGGTGTACCTCCTTCCACATTGTGGAAAGTCCTTTGGCGTAGATTGTCAAAAATATAAATCTTTCTGTGACCGTCATTTCAGGCCTTTCGAAATAGTTTTGGAGCAGGGCATATTTCCTAATGTGCTTTGCATTGTTTTGCAAAACGCCTTGATAATCATTTCTGATTTCGAGGGGTATTCGGTCTGCCAGGCTTCGCTCAAGCGCACTATACACTTAATTATCTTGCGTGCCGCCCTTGGGAGTCAGTGTGCACTTCGGTTTCCGATGGATGAGTGGCGTCGCCGTTTTCATGCGCAGTTCCCCTAGCATGGTTGTTTGGGCAGGTAAACACTAACCCTCTTGAAAAATTCCCGCATATGTTCCACACATGCGGAGTGCACGTTAAGAGTCACTGAGTTTGCATTATTTAGTAACTCGCATCATACACCGAAACTTCATGATAGGGCAGGCAAGACTATGGTGTTACGAAGTACCTATAAGAGGTACGCCGACAGCCCACACCGAGCGCATGAACTGTTTTCGTGGCTACACACTCATCACTTCGTCGTGGAACTTAGCCCTCATGGCTGGTCGTTGAAAGCCGTACTGAGGACGATGGCGACACCGCCGTAACCGTACATGTCCAACATACAAAAGCAGATGAGTTTGTCGGCTGTGCGTGTGTGCCTTCATGCACTCTGAATTACGAACCAATCGCAAGATCGCCCTTCCACCGACAGGACGACATGCAATTCCGCAAACGGCCGAGCTAACTCGGGTGGGGTCCACAATAATGAGATATTATGTCATGCACTGCAATTTGGCGGCAGCCAATGAGGAATAAGCAGTCATGTTTAGGCGCGGCAAAGGTAAGTAAACGTGTCCCAAACATTATTGGCGAAACCTGCCGCCGGAAAACTGTCGGAAACCGTTGAAGGCAAAACAATGCGTCTGAAAAGATAAAATAGTGACCAATATAACCCTAATCCCCTCGCATCCCCGCGGTTAACTATCATCGGTCTGTGTGCATGTTTGTGTTTCCGGTCCCAGTTGCTGATCAGGGTTATGATAAGCTAAATGGAGGCACAATAAACCCTAAACAGAACTGTGCCAATCTACGCGCATTGTCTGTCGTCCCTCCTCACTGCATTAGGACTTGGCCAACTTCGGGCTGGTAATTGTTTGCCTGTTCGCGACCTTTGCCAAGCAGACGGAGCTTGGTTGCTTCGTGAAGCCAAGAGATATGTGTGCGGCTATTCCTGATTTAATATATATATGAGAAGAAGAAGCGATCTCGGGAACCATGATTGTATTGTCCTGACGTATCAAATGTATACAAGCTTTCATCGTCGGAGGTAAGTATCGTACGGCATCATACAGTATTTATAGGAGTGGGATAGATATCAGTCATGCTAACACGGTGGTAAGTATACGGCGGGGAGTTGTTAATCGGATTTTGCGCTAATGGCCCGCATATGCTCAGGGATCGTCTCTGTAGTCGCCGGGGCAGAGCGGGAGAGAGGATGACTGCTGTCAATCTGCCAGTCTCTCGTCGGGGGGCGGCATTTGAACGTTGGTGGCCATCGCCCGCATTCGCGTTGACCTTACTTGTCGTGCTGGGTTGCTAGTCTTGATTGCATCCCTCTGACCGCGTTTCTCCCCGTCTGCCGGAGCAGTAGTTGAGGCAACAGTATTGATGACTGCGCCTTCGCCGGGCCCGATTTTCGGTGTGGCTATGTGCACGATTTCCTGCTTTACCCAAAGAATGCATTATCATTTAAGATAAGCCAAATGCATATATATATATATAATAACAGTGGGCGCTCGCCGATCCGGTTGCGGAACATGCTCGTTCCGTTGTGCCTTGGGGCTCATACTGATCGGCGAGCGCCCATTGTCATAATTAATATTCCCGATCACAACCGACAGGACAACGGGCCCGTGGCTCAATGGTAGGGCGTCAAACTCCATGACCAAAGATCCCGGGTTCGAATCTCAAGGGATCCACACTTGGGGTTGGGTATGACTGGTTGATGCCGGCTAATCAGCCAGAAATGGCCATTCCGGTCTCCCTTATCTTTGTCGGTATCATCTCATCTATGTCTACTACTAGTCGCTGTGCGACTGCCTGCGAGGGTTTTAGTATGATCCCCAAGGCACAACGGAACGAGCATGTTCCGTAACCTGATCGGCGAGCGCCCACTGTCATAATATATATATATATATATATATATATGTATATTCCCGATCGAAAACCGACAAGGCAACGGGCTCGTGGCCCGGTGAGTAGAGGCGTTGACTTCTAAACCAACAGGTCGCGAGTTCGAGGCTCGGGTGTTCCACACTTCGGGCTTGGGTATGGCTGGCTGACGACGGCTAATAAGCCAGAAATGGCCATTCCAGTCTCCCTTGTCTTTGTCGGTAATGCTATTCTGCCTATATATATATATATATATATATATATTGCTAGTAGAAGCGAAGATGCGCGCCCCCGGACATAATTGAGAAGAAAAGGCGATCTTAAATTATCTTATCTTAAATTATAATGCATTCTTTGGGTAAATCCGGAAATCGTATTGTGCATATTTTTGACACCAGTACCCTTAGGCCATTTTCAGCTGGAATGAAAATATGAAAATTGCCTTAAAATGACAAATGTGTTAAATAAATAAATGATTATTTTGCGCTTCCGACAGTTACTATCCGTGGTAGGCCCCATCCTATTCCGTTTGATTTTAATATATTTTCTATTTATCGCTCCCGTTGCCGCTGACGTGTAGTGACAATCTCATAAATACCAAACTTTCTATGGATTGCAGTGTTGAGTCACTGGGTGCCAACCAGACACAGTGTACACATTATTCGATGAAAAACAGAGGTATAAATGGATATTTATTTTTCTAATTTATTTCACAAAAATCACAGGCTACTGAGAGGGGGCTAATTGCAAAAGCCGTATAAAAAATTGGAAGGTTTGCTGTTCCTTTTAAAATGTCACCGGAAAAGATCACGTGTGCTGACACTACCTGCAAAAATAAATAAAAGTATTAGTAAACTTTGGTAGCACGGATAAATATTAACAGGTAACATTGTAAAGCAACTCAATGTGTAAAGAAGTAGGTAGAGTAGCTTGCGAACGTTTAATCGTGCTTTGCTTTTACAGTAATACCTATACAGTGCTGAATTCCGCATTTAGATTGCCGCATACCATAAAACAGTGCTTCGCAGATTAAATTGATGCCACGAATAAGTGCTCGTCTGTAGGGCATTGCCCAATGACATTTGTGACTGAGATAAACTTAAAAATCTAAAAACGTGCGCCATCTCTACAGGCTTGGGATTAATTATTTTATACCTCAAAATATCCATTCTCTCTACGGTCTTCGCTTTCCTATCCTCTACCTTTGCAATGGCCACGTTGACACGTTAGCTCATTAACTATTTTTGCTCTCTTACACCTAGACTCTTACTCAATCCCTTTCTAAGTCGAACTGGATTACCGTGCCGATCAACAAATATATAATTTCAGTGGTTTATTGGTATCGTAAAGCACTGAAGCATTCTGAAATACATATTAAGCTTTTGATAATAGTTTTTTTATTTACGTGGGTGGGTCAACGCTTTAAACAATTTGCATTTTTTTACCTTATTCGTTGTTCATTGCGCCGTTGTCTGTAAAACAATAATTTATGAAACGTAGCGCCAGTTTACTATCCAATAGATATAAAGTACTAAATCTAAATGTATGAGCATGTTTATAAAGTGTTATAGGTCGTGCTGGTTATTGGTGAATGGTGTCGAAATGATGAGTGCATACGGGTTTAAGCCATTCATATGTAGCATAAAAAATTGTTGGGCTCTCGAATTGATATATGAATAAGCCTTATCGGCATGTGGACAGGGATTAGCTGAAGAACAAACATAAAATTGTCATTTGGTGTTGACCACGTTAATGCAGTCGCTATCGATATTTCTAATTTTATTTTCATTCTCCCCCGCCCCCTCCTCCTTCTCCTCCCGCTAAGCGGATCTAGCTGAGGAGAGTTTGGGTAGGCATACCCATCGATGATGGCTCGCGAAACCCCTCGTGCTTCGGTTGTTCAACGACATGACAGGTTTGCGCTCAATCCACAGATAATATAAACACCATAGTCCACAAACGGCTCCCAACACCTTCCTGTACATACAAGAAGACATACATAATTGATGACGATTACCAATATTCGAAAATGTTGTTTGCTGACATCATATTAGGAAAATCGGAGTCCACTACACTAGTGCATTTCAATGGGAAAGATCTAGGCGGTGAGTGAAAGGTGTCCTTGTCGGGGCCTAGATATCACTTTGTGAATCTGCTCTTGCGGAGCTAAATAGCTCGACGCTCCCAAGGATGAATACTTGCATATGTCCTCTGCCACGGCACATCCGAACAATCTCCGAAATGTCAAAAGATCCCCTGGATTACCGGTCAAATATGCCCGCTTAACTTAAAGCCTAATGAATTCATAATAACTGAGGAGGTATCACGTAAGTAGGTCTTCGCCGGAGTATCCTGAACTGCAGGCGGGATGCTAGCAGTGCATTTTGGATTGCAGCTCGGAGTTGCATAGCTTCATGGCTACTTTGGAGTCACAACCGATAATAATGTTTGGTTTTAAAAGTGATTCCATCTAATGAAACAAGAAAATGACAACAGGCTTCGCATGAAGGAGGCGCATTTTAATGGATTAGCAAGACTTATGCGACTCATTATCGGTTCCCGACCACGCGCGGAAGTGGTCCGCAGATGCCACGAAGAGAGTTTTAGAAATAATAAAAGACTACCAGCATGGCTGGCATGCGACTTCGACAGGATCTACAACGTTCTAATAATAACTGTCCGCTGGAGAACTGAAGAAGGGATGCAGGTCAGAATGTAATGTCCAGTTGCCGCACTGCAGACAGGCGAATTGCTTCAACAAAGTCAAATGTGTACTCGAACATTTATAAATGAAGACTGAGGGTACGAGCTTGTTGTCTACAAAAAGGCGTTGACTCAACCAGTAAACAATCCACAGATGACGTTGCCTGAAGTACATGATGGTATAAATTTTTAAGTCCTGAAATTCATTGTGCACGACGATTAACTCTATCTACGAGGATGTAAAAGTAGAAAAAGGCATTGAGGGCGACAAGGTGTAGCGTTTTGTCGTCTAGGAATTACCTTGAGATTGGCAAGGACAAGGTGACTTCGTAGTATGACATGGACACGGAGCGGCCGTAGTTTGACACGGACAAGGGGACTTCGTAGTTTGACATGGACATGGTGGGCTGGTCGTCTGGCACGGACAAGGAGGGGCAGTAGTCTGGCAAGGACACGGCGTCGTCGTAGCCTGGCATGGACATGGTGGGCTCGAAATCCGAAAAGGAGACGCTATGGTAGTATTTGCGTTATTGATCAGCGGCATAGGGGTATCTGGGGGTGAAGATTTCGCAATAAAAAATTTAAAGCAATATTCAACAAAAATCGGCCTCAGGCCGTACAAAAACAGCAAGGCAAAAAAATGAACACAAAATTCATAAAATTGCATTGACTTGCGCAATGCTAACTACTGCAACATATATATGTAGGTGCAGACAGAGAGGCATGAGGATGTGCGCATGAAGAATGCACAAGTTCCAAATGACGTCATAATCGTAAGAATGGACAAACCTGATTCATGCGATACGTCACTTCCCGTAGCCGGGAGCAAACCCATCTCACCTAAAAAGGAAAGAGAAAAGGAGAAGTGAAATAAACAAATTGCCATAATACGGGTAAAAACAAAACAAAAAAGCAAGGCACGACTCCTAAAATTAGACAAGAATCCCACATAAATATACCTGCTAACTCTGTGACCATCATGCAAGGCATACCTCAGTTGCACTTAGTAGACATTCGGCACAACCATCCTCATGCGCAATGCAACCGACCAATCCATCTCTAATCACACAATGCCCATCTCCTCACTGCTCCACGCAACTGCCGTTGCCGCTGCTGCTGCCGCTGATGCTGCTGCTGCTGCTGCTGCTGCACCTGATGCCTCATCCGGCTGCCGGCTGCCGGCTGCCGGCTGCCGTCTGCACAACCATCATGCCCACCTCGGTGATCTGCAATAGCATCGCCAAGGCCGCCAGCGCCGCATGTGCGGGCCACGTACTCCTTACTGTGCCACATACATGAATGCCTAATGCTACTGCGCATGCTGTCCGCACAGGCAGGTCTACCAATGCCTGCCAATCATGACTGCTCTGCCACATGTCCCAATTCACATGCGCATCATGGACTGCGCAAAGCAACAACAGCAACAACAACATGTACATACAATTGCATTGCCTGACGCACTGCTAACTACTGCTTCTGCTGCCTTCATCTACATATATGTAGGTGCAGACAGCGGGGCATGTGGATGTGCGCCTGCAGTATGCACAAGTTCCCACTGGCATCATACTGGTAAGAGTGGACAAACCTGATTCATGCGATACGTCACTTCCTGTCGCCAGGCCCAGGCCCTCACTTGGCGTTACTAAAAGGAAGAAAGCCATTGAAGACTATGTGAATGCCAGACAAATTGCTATGCCTCGGCCAACAGCAACTGCCACAGCAACAGCAACAACAACATCCTCATCAGCATGAGCATTCAGCCCGATTGTCATATTTCCACCAAAATCCCACCTCATTACCTCTGCTCACTATGTGACAATCATGCAAGGCATACCTCAGTCGATCTTAGTAAACATTCGGCACAACCATCCTCATGCGCAATGCAACCGACCAATCCATCTCTAATCACACAATGCCCATCTCCTCACTGCTCCACGCACCTGCCGTTGCCGCTGCCGCTGCCGCTGCCGCTGCTGCTGCTGCTTCGGCTGCACCTGATGCCTCATCCGGCTGCCGGCTGCCGGCTGCCGTCTGCACAACCATCATGCCCACCTCGGTGATCTGCAATAGCATCGCCAAGGCCGCCAACGTCGCATGTGCGGGCTACGTACTCCTTACTATGCCACATGGGGTGTAGGCGTGTCAGCGGTGGGTTCACGTAATGGTCGTGGTGGTCGCTCTCTTGCTTGCAGGTGAGACTGCGCCTAGCATCTACTTGCTGGCACTCAAGTCTCACCTGTGGCTCCACGTAGCTGGGCTCTGCTCAGCGGCCACACCCCGTGCAACCGTCTCGACCGGCGGGCTAAACCAGGTGAGTGGCCCTGTGCGCTGTGCCGTGTCCACATGGTTTGCGGATTCCGCTGGATGGAACCTTGCGTCGGCACCGTCGTTACGTGGTTCGTCTCTGCACGTCGCTTGACAGCCGATGACGGAATGGATCTCCACATCGACATCGCCTTGACGCGCCCGCCCTCGCCGACGGAGACCGCGGCTTACGGCGAATTCGAGTCGCTCTCCACTACAACCCGATGTCGTGGTCCCATAGTGGAGTTCGGCCGTGCCACAACGGCACATGGCAGCCCTATTCAGGGATGGCACTGCCAGCCCCCACGAGGGGAAGGGCCTAGAAAAGGTGGCCTAAACATTGCTGGGTACCACGCCGTCTCCAGTCTAGCCAGGGCCGCAGACGTCTAAACATGTTCGAAACAATCAAAATCGAAACAACAACAATACTAATAACAACAGCAACCATACTCATTCTCCTCATCCTACCTCTTCTTCCTCTACCTCCGTCTATTCTTCTGCCTATTCTTCTCCTTCGTAATCTTCTTCTCCATCTCCTTCCCGTCGCCCCACTCGTTGTCACCAGACTGGCAGAGTGAGCCCGCTCACTCTGGCAGCCTGGAATGTTCGTTCCCTTTTAGACAATCCGAGGAGCAACCGACCGGAACGGAGGACGGCGCTAGTGGCACGATAACTGGCGCGCTACAAGGTGGACGTCGCCGCACTCAGCGAATCCCGTTTCTCCGAACAAGGCCAACTGGAGGAGGTGGGTGCCGGCTACACCTTCTTCTGGAGCGGTCGACCCAGGGCAGAGCGACGGGACGCGGGTGTCGCCTTCGCCATTCGGAACGACATCGTGGGACGACTGCCCTGTTTGCCGCAGGGCATCAACGATCGCCTGATGAGCCTCCGTCTGCCTCTCTGGGGAGGCAAATTCGCCACAATCATCAGCGCCTACGCTCCGACCATGACCAACCCCGACGCCGTCAGAGACAAATTCTACGAGGACCTGCACGCCCTCTTGGCGACTGTGTCGAAGGCGGACAAGTTGATTGTCCTTGGCGACTTCAACGCCCGCGTCGGCACAGACCATACTGCCTGGAGAGGAGTGCTGGGTCCCCAGGGTCTCCGCGGCTCAAACGACAATGGTCTGCTGCTTCTCCGCACCTGCGCAGAACACCGCCTCATGCTGACGAACACGTTCTTCTGTCTGCCGGAGCGAGAGAAGGCCACCTGGAGGCATCCTCGGTCGCGCCAGTGACACCTGCTGGACTATGTCCTCGTCCGGAGGCGAGATCAGCGGGACGTGCTGGTGACGAAGGCGATCGCGGGTGCTGACGGGTGGACCGACCATCGCCTCGTCATCTCGAAGATGCGTATTCGCCTACAGCCTCGCAGGAGAACACAAGGTAAGCGACCCCCAGCTAAGCTGAATGTTGCCTTGTTGTCTTTGCACGCTCACCACCTTCATTTCAGCAATGAGCTTGCTCAACGGCTAGACAACCTTCCTATCGCTGCCGCCGACGACGCCGCCGCTGCCGAGAACGCCTCAGTGGAGAACCGCTGGTGTCAACTGCGAGACACGGTCCAGTCGACGGCGCTCGCCGTCCTCGGTCGCGCTCCCCGCCAACACCGGGACTGGTTCGACGACAACGACGCCGCCATCAGAAATCTGCTAGCTGAGAAGAACCGCCTACACAAAGCCTACGTAGATCACCCCACTGATGCCACCAAAGCTGCCTTCTACCGCAGTCGCCGCCAACTTCAGCAACGACTGCGCGAGATGCAGGAAGCCTGGACTGCTCGCAAAGCTGAGGAGATCCAAGGGTACGCGGACCGCAACGAATGGAAGAACTTCTTCTCTGCGATCAAAGCTGTCTAGGGTCCGCCGACGAAGGGCACCGCTCCTCTCCTCAGCGCCAACGGCAGCACTCTCCTGACTGAGAAGACGCAAATCCTGCAGCGATGGGCCGAGCATTTTCGAGGCGTCCTCAACCGCTCCTTCGTCATCTCCGACGCCGCCATCGAGCGTTTGCCGCAAGTGGAGACCAACGCGGACCTCGACCTCCCGCCATCTCTCCAGGAGACCATCAGGGCCGTGCAGCAGCTCTCCAGCGGTAAAGCACCCGGATCGGACGCGATCCCTGCTGAGGTCTACAAGCACGGAGGTCCCCAACTAATGGATCACCTGACTGCGCTCTTCCAGGAGATGTGGCGTCAACGTGAAGTCCCGCAAGATTTCAAAGACGCAACCATCGTGCATCTCTACATACGCAAAGGGAATCGCCAAGTCTGCGACAATCACCGCGGCATCTCCCTGCTGAACATCGCCGGGAAGATCTTCGCACGAATCCTCCTCAACCGCCTCAATAATCATCTGGAACAGGGCCTTCTGCCGGAAAGCCAATGCGGCTTCCGTCGTCATCGTGGGACCACGGATATGATCTTCGCCGCCCGTCAACTTCAGGAGAAGTGTCAGGAGATGCGGACCCACCTGTACTCTACCTTCGTGGACCTGACGAAAGCCTTCGACACGGTGAATCGTGAAGGACTGTGGAAGATCATGCAGAAATTCGGCTGTCCGGGGCGATTCACTCAGATGGTACGTCAGCTGCACGACGGTATGATGGCGCGAGTCACGGACAACGGAGCTGTCTCAGAGGCATTCGCAGTGACCAATGGAGTGAAGCAAGGCTGCGTACTGCCGTCTACCCTCTTCAGTCTTATGTTCTCTGCCATGCTGATGGACGCCTACCGCGACGAACGCCCCGGGATCCGCATCGCCTACAGGACGGACGGTCACCTCCAGAATCAACGGCGGATGCACTTCAAATCGCGCGTATCCACAACCACCGTTCACGAACTCCTCTTCGCTGACGACTGCGCCCTGAACACCACCTCGGAAGAGAAGATGCAACGGAGCATGGACCTGTTCTCCGCCGCCTGCGAGAACTTCGGTCTGGTCATCAACACACAGAAGACGGTGGTGATGCAACAATCGCCACCCAACTCGGCCGCAGCCCCCAACGCGCCGCCGCAAATCAGCATGAATGGGACCCAACTGCAAGTGGTGGAGAACTTCCCGTACCTGGGCAGTACTCTCTCCCGCAACGCCAAGATCGACGACGAAGTCGCCAACAGGATCTCGAAAGCCAGTCAAGCCTTCGGTCGCCTCCAAAGCACAGTTTGGAATCGTCATGGTCTCCAACTGAGCACGAAGCTGAAGATGTACAAGGCCGTCATCCTGCCGACGCTACTGTATGGAGCGTAGACTTGGACGGTGTACGCAAAGCAGGCACGTCGTCTGAACCACTTCCACCTCAGTTGTCTTCGTCGCATCCTGAGTCTGAACTGGCAGGATCGAATCCCCGACACTGATGTGCTGGAACGGACGGGAATCCTCAGCATCTACGTCATACTGAGGCAAATTCAGTTGCGCTGGAGCGGCCATCTGGTGCGCATGGACGACGAGCGACTACCCAAACGACTCTTCTACGGAGACGTCGCGACGGGTTCTCGCCGTCAAGGAGGCCAGATTCGCCGTTACAAGGATACCCTGAAGTCCTCCCTGAAATGCCTGCAAATCAACCCCACCAACTGGGAGGAGCTCGCACTCGATCGACCGACCTGGAGGAGGACAGTGAAGACAGGCGCTGCGATCTACGAAGTCAACCGCATCGCTGCCGCCAAAGCGAAACGTGAAGCCCGCAAATCACAAATTCGCCCAGTAAGCAACGCCGCCGCACAACCGCTTCCAACGTGTCCTCGATGTCAACGGACATTCCGGGCTCGAATCGGACTTCTTGGACATCTTCGGATTAACTGCGCCTCTCGAACGGCACCAACCATCGTCCCCCCGCCTGCCTCTTCCTCCTCCCTCCCG